GAGTTATAAGAAGAGAAGATGAAGGTAAAGATATAGAAGTAATGGAGCTGCATTCTTTGGTTATCACTATACTGAAGAATATAAATGCTTTTCTAAATATTTATCTATAGCTCAAATATTTGATTCTCTTGAAATTGATAACAAAGTAAGACCAGAATTAAACACAAATTGTTTAATATATGCTTTACAACAAGCTAAAATAGATGATAAAATTATTGATTTATATCATCTTCATTGTTATTCTAGATATCAGCGAATTAAGTTAATTGATGAAGTATCTAAATCATGTAATATTAGAATTCAAATAAAACATGAAGAAACAATACTTAAATCTAATGCAAACACTATAATGAAATATATAGGTTCGGATAATAAAGATGCTAAACAAATTAATATGTATTTATTTAGAGATAATAATATGAAAGGTAATCACTATTTCTTAGATGTTGATTTACCAATTACTCCATTTTATCTTAAAAATAGAGAAGAAATGAATAAATGGGCAATTGATCATAATAAAAGTATAGAATCTATGTTCAATAAGCAACGTTATAATAAAAATAAACAATGTTATCAAGTTAAAGATAAAAATCAATACACAATTAAATTATCTGAACTTGTTTTATATATTAGAGATCATAATGGTTTTAAGTCATATTCATTATCAGATGTATTACATTTAAAATCTGATTTATCCGATTATGTTAAACAATCAATTGATAATTTAGATTATTAAGATTTCGAAGTTAAAGACATAAAATTAGATGAAACACCTAAAAAATGCAAATCTAAACAAGTGACATATTACTATGCTGATTTTGAAGCAAGTACTCAAGGTATTCATAAAGCTTATTGTGTTTGCTATTCTAAACGGGATTCTAATATAATTAATTGTAAATATGGAGATGATTGTGTATTTGACTTTTTATCAGATTTAGATTCAAATTCAGTAGTTTACTTTCATAATTTAAAATATGATTGCTGTTTCTTAGCTAAATATGGAATAAACACATGTATTAAGAAAGATAGTAAAACCATGAAAATGACATCAAATTATAACGGAAAGCACTTGATAATTAAAGATAGTTATTCAATGATTTCTGCTCCATTATCATCTTTTCCAAGTATGTTTAGTTTATCTGGTATTCAAAAAGAGATTTATCCATATAACTACTATACTCAAGAAAGAATTCAAAATAATGTTGGTACCATATCAGAATCTGGTGAATATGAATGTAAGAAATGGAATGAAGAACAATATAAACTATTTAATGAAAATATCGATAAAATAGAAAATTGCAGAATTGATGAAAATCATTATAACATGAAATTGTATTGTAGATTCTACTGTAAACAAGACGTAAGAATATTAAAAGAAGGGCATATCAAATTTAGAAATGATAGTTTAATTAGTTTAAGCATAGATCTGGATAAATTTATTAGTATATCTGCTTTAGCTAATTACTATTTCAAAATACATGTTTATACTAAAATTCCAAATCTTAAGCAATATGGTGGTAAAATAAGAGAATATATACAAGGTGCAGTATATGGAGGAAGAAATATGTGTAGAGATAATAAGAAATGGCACATAACAGATGTATTATATGATTATGACGCATGTTCACTATATCCTAGTGCAATTCATAGATTAAAATTGGCTACTGGTAAACCAATAGTAATACCAAATGAATTTCTAAATTCTTCCATATTGGATCATCTAATGTTAGAACAGCAATTAGAGCAAACAAACGAGCGTTATATATCAGCATTTATTGTAGATATAGAAATAACTAAAGTTAATAAAGAATTGCATTTTCCTATAATCTGTAAAAAGACTTAGAATAAAAATAAAAATGTGAATGAATGTTGCACAATGAGAGTAGATAATATTATGCTTGAGGATTTAATCAAATTTCAACAAATTGAATACAAAATAATAAGAGGATATATGTAAATTGGTAATAAATCAGATGTATTTAGTAATGAAATTGAAAAGATATACAATTTAAGAGCAGAACTTAAAAAGCAACATAATCCGTAACAAAACATCTATAAGTTGCTTATGAATTCATCATATGGTAAAACTATTCAAAAACCAATTAAATCTGATTTAGTGTACAAAAATATTGAAACTAAAGTTAACAATGAAATTAGATATAATGCAGATAGATATCTTAAAAAGAATTTCACATTAGTTAAATCTATGAATGATATATCAGATAATATCAGATGTTTTGAAACAAATAAATCATTTGATAACTTTTATGTTCCTAACTTAATTGGAGTACAAATATTAAGTATGAGTAAGAGAATAATGAATGAAGTAATATGTTTAGCTGAGGATTTAAATATTCCGGTATATTATCAAGACACTGATTCAATTCATATTTTAAAGAATAGTATCGAATTATTAGAACAAAAATATAAAGAAATATATGGGAAAACGTTAAGAGGCGGTGAATTAGAACAGTTTCATCCAGATTTTGATGAATTATCTGGAGATGTAACAAGTGTAGAATCTTACTTCTTAGGTAAGAAAGCTGATTGTGATAAATTAACAAATGAAAAGAAAGAATATGCGAATCATCTAAGAATGAAAGGAATTCCAAATAAAGTATTAAAAATACAATATAAAGATCCATTAGAATTATATAAGAAACTATATGAAGGAGAGCCTTATACATTAAATTTACTTGAGTTAAAACCAAGTTTCGAATTCGATAAACAATTTAATATTAAAACAAGAGAGCACTTTACTAGAAAGATATCATTTTAAGATAATATTCCGAACAAATTATTAAAAAAGAATAATCCAAATATATATCACATTTTAAGACTTTTATATGGTACCAGCATATATCAGTCTATTTTTTTAGTATTGTGTCATCGTAGTTCATCTGAAATTATTATATATTCGAAAAATATAATAAAATACAATTTGAAAACTAATGAGAACAACTTATAAACTATAAAATGTTCTGAGAATAAGTAATAGTTAAAGATAATTACTAAAAATATATCACATCTTTCGATATTATATATTTATCTAACATTTCTTCATTAATTTCATTCGAATCAGAATTACTTTCCTCATGATATTTCTTTAGAGGATTATTACTAAATGTCATTCCTTTGTGATTATTATCTTTAATACTATATCTAACCCAATTATCACTAAATTTACTAACTCTAGGTTTAATTAATTTTAAAATATTGTCTTTAATTTGAAATAACTCTTCAGATTCAACTCTATTTTATAAATCAACTTTGTGGTCATTTATTTCTGTGATATGAACACATTTCTTTTTAATATGATTAATTATACTAGTCATTGTAAATCCCATTTTAGAAAAATAAAAAAAATAAATTATCACTTAAAAAAATCCTTAAAAATAAATATATGTTTTTTGACTCTATATTGTGCTTATGGAGTGGGGGAAAGTAGTCCCCCCCTGAATCAGCACAATATATATACTACTACCTATTGATTTTGCAATTAAATAAATTTTAAAAATGTTATTACAAAACATAAAAACAAAATTTGTTTTAAATTATAAATATTTATAATAACTAATTATTTAAAATATTTTAATAAAACTAAAATTTTTAAAGTTTTATTTTTTATTTATAATGATTAACTTGTTATATCATTTATATTGATTGATTTGTTTAATTTTTAAATTCCTTTATTATTATTGATTATAATAAAAAAATAAATGTTTTTATTATTTATATCAACAATAATAATTATTGTGTATTTTGTGTATTTTTTCACTTTGAAATAAACCTTCAATAGATAATTTAATAGTTTAATTTATATTTAATTAAACTGTTTTTTAAATGTTTTTTTATTAAAAAGTTTGTTTATAACCAAATTGAATTTGTTTTTACACAACTTTTTTGTGTGTTTCAAGTTTATTTTGTTGACTTTAAAACTATATAATATAAATAGAAATAAGCATATAAATTAGGTTTTGTATTTATATCATACGATTTTATTTTTAATTTTATTTTATTTTTATTCAACATTAAATAGAAAACAAATTATTTTTAATGCATATGTGGTTATTATGTTAAAATATATAAATTTTATTATTTTTTTATAATTATAATAGTTTATTATATCGGTTATGGTATATCAAAGTTGTTTATAAAATTCTCAAAAATGTTTTTATCATATAAATATTATCAATATAAAATAACATTTTTGAATTTAACTTTGGCAAAAAGTGGTATTAAAGCGATTTTGAGGTTTTAATATAAAATTGAACTTTTAAATTTGATTATTTATTTACTGATGTTATAAATATTAATTCAGGAATTGTTATCTCATTATACTCCTTTTAATTAAAGGTTTATTTATTTTACATAAGTATATAATTAAAATAATAATAATAATTTTATAGTAGTTTTGTATTAACGAAAATAAACTATATTTAAATGATTGAGAAGTTGTTTTGAATAGTTATTTAAAATAAAGCTTAAGGTTTATTTTTTTAAATTTTATTTATTCATAGGCAAAACAAGGAAAAATGTTTTTAATGTTTTGATCTTTAATTTATATAACAGTTTTGAGAAGGCTTGGAAGAACCAAAAAAATCAAATCTGCTACCGTTTTTTGATTACTTTGGGAAACTCTGGGTTGTGTTAAAAATAAACAAGGTTGAACAAAAGAATAATATTTTATGATTAAATAATAATTAATAATAATTATTATTATCATTTTTTTTTCATCCCGAAAAATAACCGTTTTTAAGACCAAATAATAAGAAAGATACACATTTATTTATATATTTGCCCGTTTTATTGTATAAAATCCGCTTAATATTCAATAGCTAAAATTAGTCTGGTCCCTGGTTTTTCCCGTGGTTTCTGTTAATTCCGCTATTTGTAATTGATAAATTAAAAATACAAACTTAACCCTCCACAAAAGAAAATAAAAAACCAAAAAAAACAATCAAAACAATACAAACAAGCGGTTGTTGTTCGTGAATTAAAAAAACAGAAAAAGCTTAAACAAACCAAAAAAGTAATCATTTTATTTTTATAAATCAGTTGTATTTTTTTAAAACAATAACATGCAATGTCTCCGGTTTTAGGGGTACCGAACACATAGGTTTGGGGTTTCTTTTCTCAAAATCATCGAGAAAGCAAAAGACAAATATAAACAAGAGACAAAAGAAAAATAATAATTTTAATGATTATCTTTTTCATAACACAATTTTTTGGTTTAGTAAAACAGTGAGAAAAGCAAAATGTCGATTATTTGATAACATGATATTGAGGGGGAAATGTTATTTGTATGAAAACTAAAAATAAAAAACAACAAAATTGAATCAGGGCAGTGTTGAAAAAATAGAATTAAAATATTTATTATAATAAGATCATTCGACGTTAAATTTGGGGAAAATACCACAAATTCAAATTGTGAATAAAGTTGAAACAAAGATAGTTTAAAAGTATTAAAATAAATGGAATTGATTACTATAACTTTAATTGTTTTATTGTGTAGATTGTTATAAGTTCATTGTGTTTAACACAAATCTAAATTATTATTATTGATTAACATATTGTAATTATTAAAATTTTGAAAACAGTTCAAAACAAACCCACCATAAGCACAATTCAATTACTCTTTAATATTTTTTTGTCCTTTTGAATTGAATTACCATTGATTTTCAAAAATTATGGGTTTATATATTATTAAACTATAATAAAACAATAAAAGTATTAGACTATGATATATCAAATTATAATAAAGTCCAAATCATATTATTTTAAATAAATGCGTATTTGTTAATCCAAAAATGCATTTATTGTTACATTTCAACTTTATTGAAACAAACAAGTAGCATTTTTGTGTATTGTG